AAAGGAAGAAAGGAAGAAAGGAAGAAAGGAAGAAAGGAAGAAAGGAAAGGAAGAAAGAAAGACAGACAGACAGCCAGCCAGACAGACAGAGAGAGAGAGAGGAACACAGCAGAACTAGAAAGCCCATCCATTCACTGACTTGAAAGCCCTGAATACCTCTCCAGCGCGAGCCAGGCGGTCCCCGGCCTTGGCCCATTGGGGCGCTCGCCCCTGGCACAGGTCCTTGAAGTCGTCGGGTGTCAAGATCCAACTCTTCTGCCTCAAATCGTCGGACGCCGCGATCGGGCGGCTTGGGATGTCGACGAAGCGATCAAGACCGGGTGTCAATCGAGAGACATCCCAGAGGCGATGATGGATAGAACGATCGTTCAGTGGTCTAAAGGTGCTTCGCTTTGAGGGGGATTGCACCCTACAAGCAAAATAGAAGAAGGGATAGCTTTATGGAAGGTACCTTCGACGGGAGGGATTTGACCCTCCAGGCGTTTCTGATACATTCGGATGCTACGAAGTTTGAAGGACGACCTGGGGACCTTCTTCTACCAGCCTCTTCCAGAGCTCTCTTCAGGAGAAAAAGACCTCTTTGTTTCTTCTACCAAAGCCTTTTCGAGGTCCATTTTCGGCTCTGGCCCTACTTGAAAGCAAAAACAGCCCACCCACAGCCACAATTTCAAGCTCTCTTCGTCTTCGGAAGGACCCCAAAGGTCTTGCAATACAGACGCTACGTCGCTCCAGACGGCCTGTCTTCCAGCCTGACTCAACGTTCACCGACCCGGAGGCCGACCCGGCGGCGGAACCTCGGGCGAGGCGCTCATAACCGTGCTTCTGCGCGTAGGCCTCGTGCGAGGCCGCGCAGAGGAAGCCCACGTCGTAGGCGTCGTCGAAGGCGGTGACCAAGAGGAACGACATGGCGCCATGGTGCAGAAACGGTGCTTCTGCGTCGAATCACATGAGGCTTCACGTGAGGCTTCGGTTTTCTGCAACGCGTCTTGGATTTTCAGGGGCTAGAAGCCCACGAATAGACATGACCAATGGGGTCCTGTTGGATTCTTGCAACATGACGGAAGAGGATCTTGGAGGACCGTGAGAAGTGTCACTTTCCGTGGAAGAAAAGCAGAGCTTGGGGGAAGGTGCTGGGGTCAGATGGAAGAACAACGTGTGATTCGATGGAATCCCCCGATTCATCTTCAGTCCGTTATGGTCGATTCGGTTTTGCTGTGGAGAACAGGAGATAAGTGTCCAAACGTAGTGACTCAGTTGCTGGTGCTGCTTGTGAAGGCAAGCAGCCACTGGGCAACTCAACCCTGTTCCTGTGCGCCTGTGCAAGCCTACTAAGCCTACTGGGGCCTACGGCCAGGTTTGAGTGGGTTGGGAGAGTTGCTGCGCGATGCTCTTTTTCCATGTGCGGCGCGCCGAAGAACGGGAACTGGGCCAAGAAAGGCTCTCTTCATGGCATGCTTCCGAAGAAGACCAGCATCACAGGTGACCCCAAGGTTCGGAAAAGGTCCAACAAGGATCCCTGCGCGTGTTGACATCTTCTCACCCCAAGGCCCCAAGGTTCCATGGGCCACAATCCTGCCGTGTTACAAAGCTGCCACAGCATGCAGCTGAACAAGACTCAAGGGGCGAGTTCCTGCATAAAAATAACTTTTAAAGAACACAAATAAACAAAATAGACGTCTAGAAAAAACCAAACATGTGCAATCACTTGCCTTCAGTGAATGGCAATCCTTTATCTTCATCAACCTCACGTGGACCAGCCTCAACCCACCATGAACAAGAACCAGCCTTGAGACCTCACCATGCCATCATGGATCGCACACAGGTGATCTCAGACTCTTTCGAGGTCGCCGCCGGCCAGTTGGCCCACGACCATGGACGGTTCCGGCGAAGGCCGAGTTCCGGCGACCCACGATCCTTCGCCGGAGCGAAGGCCTTCGCCGAAACCGTCCGTCAGGTACGGGAGTCGAAGGCTGAACGAAAACCACAGAGGTCTTGGTTCAACGAGACCTCGTTGTTGACGGACGAAGGCCGCACGCGAGACGCTGAAGGTCTTGGTTCAACGAGATGCGAGAAAACTCTGAATGAAGAGGCTACACCAAGAAATGATGGTGAAAATATTTTCAGAGCTATATAACAAAAACCGTTTGGAAACGATATAGTTTGAAAACCCGGCGTATACGCTGAAGGTCTCCAGTTTTGGTACGTTTGTTGTAGCTACTTCGGCTCGAACCGTCTGGTGGTGTAGCTGTGGTCGGCAACGGATTGGTCGGCCCGAATCGAGCCATGGCAAGGACCAGCAGTCCTATCGTGGTGTCAAAGCTTCCTATCGTGGTGTCATGCAATCAAGTGGAAGGCTATTCACCGGGTTCTGACGGGGCATTTTAGGCAGAGACTGATGTGGACACATGACTTTGTGATCCTTGAATTTGAGGAAGAAATGTCCAACAAGAGATTCATGATCAAGATGTCGCATGGGACGACTCCCTTCATCTGCTGGGGAAAAACCATGAGGATAGCGGAGATCGTGGAGGTCGGACGTCGTTCGTAGCAGTTATGTGTGGAAGATCCCTCCGAGCCTTTTTTGCCCTCAACTAGAATTTGGGAGTTCTGGCGCGAGGCGCCATTAGGAAGTGAGCAGACAACCGAAGGACACAAGGAGATTCCTTCCAGAAGCCTAGATGCAGATGATCAGCACCAGACTTGGCAAATGCCATTCATGAGCATTGCTTATCTTGCCTTTTTCGTGCAGGCTATTTGTAGTGGCTATTGGTGGCAACGTTTCTTCTTCCTGCTTTTATGCTTCGGTTTTGTGGGAGGTAGTGATACGAATGAAAAGAATGTTCCGATGACGCATGAGTTGGAAGGTCACTCGATGCCATTCTTCGAACTTCTTGGTGGATCACTGCTTGCGCTTGGACTAAGCATTTGGTACTGCTATGAGTGGCTTGGAATTTCTTTGAGAAATGCTTCTACGCCTCCGTGGTCTTGGTTGAGACACTTGTGCCAAAGCAGAGAATGTCGAATGCTTTTTCGAGCATCCGAAACATCAGTCCGAGAGGGAATTGATATGTTGACCAAGAGCAGCAATTTTGCTGACCTCCAGGGGTGTGATGACAGATGTCGCCTTTCTGCCTTTTGTCCTGGGGAAAGCGCATTTAGGTTGGAACACGAAGACATGGATGCCTTGAGTAATATTGAGAGCCATTCTAAACCGTGTCTTTCCTGGACAGGTCACAGTCTCTTGTCAGGTCCATGCACACAATGCCAGCAGATGTACTCCAGCACTCGGTTGGAAGGGTCCAACTGCCAAGATGGGTGCATCAGGGGTTTTCAAGCAAGGTCACAGGTATGACTCAGGTTGTGTTCTTGTTCTGAGAGATGAATTTAAAAAAATGATGACAAAAAAAGAAGAAGACCACTCAAGATACCGCAAAAAGAACGGAAAAAGCGGTCAATCTTTTGCCGAAGTGGCACGGCTTTTCCAGGATTCATCCCAAGAGGAGTTTATCCTGGTCCGCAGCCATTTGGGGCGGCCTAGCTGGGATCGCCTCTGGTGCGACCCGTCGGGTGTACTAAGCCATGGCAATGGAGAACAACTCTTCATTCGTGCAGGTGGAACACCTACGTAGGATTCCCCACGTCTGGCAATGCTTCAGGCAAACGCCACGCTAGGTCAGCGAATCACATTCATGAAAGAGACTCGGGGCTGGCTAGCGAACGACGAGTTGTCTCATGTGGTTAACCGCCTCCGATCAAGACATTCCAACTATACCATTCTGCCTACAGCTCACTACAACTGTGTGCAAGATGAATTTTGCTTCGAGCAAGAAGGCACGAGTGTACCTAATACTGGATTGACCTGTGTTCCGGTCCTGTTCGGTAGCCATTGGATCGGTATTGAGATAGACCGTCAACACCAGATTCCGGATATTACTACACTTGAAGCCCCCCGATCAATGCAGAATCGTTTGGAATTCTTCATCTGCCATTTGCTTCAAATACCCGCCCATAGGTTGCATATCCAGCATGGCATGGATGTCTCACCACCAAACATGTGCGGATGGGGCCTTCTATGGAGGTGGGCAAACCTAATGCACGCCCAAGATGCTTTTCGAGATGTTCAACATCAGTTGCATGTCCTTGCAGACGTGAACCGGAGAATCATTCATCGTGCCTTACAGTCATCCATTGAGGCCTGGGCAGTAACGGGAGCCAGTGATACCCTGCAGCAGGTAGCTTATACCATGCGATTGTCCTTCCTGGTTCACTTATTCCATTTCGACGCAGGCATCCATTCTTGTTTAGACTCTTTGGCGATTAGTGCAGCAGGTCAACCTCTAGAGGTTTTTGCAGACCATGACAATTTGCCGACTGCTGTCAATACACCTGAGCTTCCTCCGCCTCCTACGCAACCTGAGGTTCTATCTACAGTAGTAGAAGCTCCGGAGAGTCATGAAATTCAAGCACAGTCGCACCCCTGGTCAGATGCTATCGATGGTGGGGAGGACCTACTCCAACAGCACGACCCATGGGCCAATTGGTCCACGACTTCTTCAACCAGCGCAAGTTCGTCTAGCAGCCGACTAACTAAGAAGAGTGAAGCATCATCCCAAATGCAGACACAAATTTCGATTCAGAAGACAGAGCTTTCGCAGATGAAGGACCGCCTTCAGAAGCTAGAGGAATCCTCAGCAAAGAAGGAACAGAATGATAAGACCAACATTACAAGGGACATGAAGTCCTTCCAGCAGGAGGTCCGCCATGAGATCAAAGAATTCGAACAGAAGTATGAGTCATCATTAGAGCGTGCTTTAGCTAAGACAGAGTCCAAGCTCGAGGGCTCTATGAACTCGGCCATTGCACAGCTCCAGAACTTCATTCAGAATCAGAACAAGCAGCAGAAACGTTCGGCCCCAAGTCCTGCAAAAAGCGATGCTTCAATGCCGGAGCATGAGACGTGAGGACTGTTGAGCGTTCTTTTGTGTTTCACCTTTTACGACATCCTTGTTGGCTTCATCCTACAGTCTTTGAGCAATGTTGAATGCAGCATGAATGACAAGACTAGATCTCAGAATCAATTCCAATTAGGGTGTTTCAAATTCAATGGTTCACGCAGACGATTTTTCGCTGACACAGGTGGTCTTTTCAGACTCCTACGAGGCCATCAACCATGTTTACACTTTCTGCTCATTGTCGGATTGTTCATGATACAATTTTAGTTCGACCTGATTACCAGATGCAATGGCCACGCATCTGTCCCAGCCATAACTACCTTCATGCATGTCGGATAGGGGAAGCACAGAACCCTGGGCCACCGTGTTACGGGGATGTCTGCATGGTCAACCCGACCTCGTTGGCTGGCAAAAAAGAGCTCTTCCTGTCCCTGCATGCAGATGTTCTCGCATTAGCTGAAACATCGGCGACAGTTTTTGTTCAACATGAAGTTATCCAATCCATGAAAAATACCAGGCCAATTCCATGTTCTTTGGCCAGGCAGTTGATGACACATTTAAAACATCCTCTTTGCAAGACGACCGACCGTCGAGACGTGGTGACGCGTTTTGGGCACGCACTGCAAGGCCTTTGGGCACGTGTTCCGTCTGTGTTCTACACACCGCATTCCTGGGAACGTCCATGTTGCATCAGTCATGTCGGTGTTCATCATGTATAGTATAGTATACATTTCGGCACTATACATCAGTCTTGATCGTCTCTGCCTACGGAAAAACCTGGACGCACCCGTGAAGCCCAATCTAAAAACGATGTACTGTTGTGCAGAGATGGCTACTCGTCAAGAAGAACGAAACCGAAGACATGTGCATAGACACCTAATCCAAATGGATAAAAGGGATAAAAATGGATGGATTACTTTTTAAAGCACTTCGGGATCAAGAACAAAAAATCAT